GTTCTGTTGAAAGTATTAGTTTTTTTTCACATGTGAGTGAAATGAAGCACTATAGGCATTTACATTTACACTTTTTTTCCTTTTCAAAATTTTTATTTACAAAAATAGCAACCCTCCTTTACACAATGTTTTTTTGTTTAATTTAGACAAAACAAAACTATTGAAGATGACCAGTGTGACCAGTGAGATTGGGGGGAGGCAGCAGTCAAGCATGGCTGGGATTGAGAATGAGGCTGCCTCGGCCAGGGTGGTCAGACCTGTAGAAATATCTGGCATGGTCAAGGATGGATTACATCCAGGGGAAGGGGCCGAAAGGTTAATATAGTCAGGATAATGAAGCCAGGCATTCACTGCTGCAGAAAGGAGTTACAACTATAGAAAGAGGGAAGGACAGAATAAGCCATATGATGTCTTTGAATTTCACGTCTTTTGAGCCTTAGATCTTGATCTACATTTATGTGTGTGTATGAGTATCATGCATATATTTTCTAGCCCTCATATCTTGGTTTGTAAATACCAGTCTCTTCTAAATGAAACCAGAACTTCTTGGAGAAATGTCTGAATCCAAAGCGGGGTAGGAAAAGAGCAAAATAAACCTGAAACATCTTATTCCAGAAAGTAAAATGCTCAAAGGATAATAAAGACATAACGAAGACACAGGTACCATCATTAACAGGCCCCACCAGTCAAATTTGGGGTTGTTGATATGTCACAGTAAATTACGATTATGAGTATTATATCTGTAGAGTAAAATAGGAATCTTCAGACTCTATATTCATGTAAATACTCTTCATTCTCATCAGTGAGAAGTCTATTGATAATATCAAAGTTGAAAAATAAGAAAAGCAACATCTATATACATATACACATATATGTAAAATATTAAGGAACCGTAACAAAGGGCAAAAATGGCTTAGAAAGTTCTGTATTTCCTTTGAGGATCCTGAACTGGTAATGACGATATGGAGCAGGGGTGATGCTTTTTGATTTTTGGTTTGTTTTGCTTTATTCAAGCCTTATAGAATGATTTGACTTTTTAAAACTTAAACACATTTTTTATAAGATACCCTCCTGTTAGCACTTCACAACCTTTGTTTTAATCTCTCTCTTACTGAGATTAAGCTGGAAACACAGGCCCCATTACTCCTAAATAGATCTGTGTGTGTTTTCTGAAAACCAGAACACACTCCAACCACAGGGCCACTACAGGCATTGAAATCAGAAAATTATCCTTGACACAACACTGCATGCCACAGTCCAATCCACAGACCCTGTTGAATCTCTCTATTCCAATAATAATTGTTGAGAGAGAGAGAGGGAGAAACTGCTCTTCCTTCTGGGACAGAATCAAATCCAGGATTTGCTGTTGTACCTCTTTGATCTCCTTCAATCTGGAACCCCTTCCAACTTTCCTTTTCCATCATGATATTGACTTTTAAAAACCGTTTTATAGGTAATGTCCTCATCGTCTCAAACATATACATGTGTCTCTTTTCTCTCACATTATCTTAATGTAATCACATCACCATTTTAAAGTAAGTCCAGGATTAAGGTAACTTGTTTTTATTCACAACCAAGCCATGTAGTAAACTATGATGACCTTTTCATTCTCGTACAGCTTTTGTTTTCCTGAGCATTCATGGTTCCATCATTCTGTCTCTTTTTTCTCCCTCCTTTACCTTCTCTCTTGCTCTTTCCTCCTTCTTAACTTTCCTCTACCAATTATAATTCATCTACAGACCTGCCATGCGAGAACTCTGCTCCTCTCGCGTTTACACATATCAGGTAGTCTGTCGGTTTTCTTTCTTCCTTCCTTTATACCTGCCTTTGTTTACTTCCTTTCCCCCTTCATTTCCTTCCTTTTTTTCATATTGTTCTTTTTTATTCCCTCTTTTGATGACTTCCTTTTTTTTTTGTTTTCTTTCCCTCTATTCCTCTTCCTTTCTCCATCTTCTTTTATTCTTTCCCCGTGTTATTGTCCCTGCCTTTCTGGAGATGTTTCTTCCTGGTCCAGTCTGTGTAAGCGGTTCTCTAGGTTGGCTGCAAAGCTGTTAACCTAGAAACTTCTTTTACTATCATTCAGTGAATTCTTTTTCCTTTTATCTTGTGTTAGATCTCTTATTTTTAGATTCTGTTTGGTTTATACCCTTATTTTGAAGAAGCAGCTTCCAGAGAACAGGTGAATGTTCAGTTACTTTTTGGAAATTTTTATGCCTGAAATGATTTTACTCTACATATGTACTTGAATGACAATTTTCCTGAATATATATAATTCCGGGTGTAAAATACTTTTCTCTCAAAATTATTGTTTTTTAGTTTTCAGTGTTACCATTGAGAAATTCTGATGTAAGTCTTACTTCTAAGATTTATTTTATTATACCTGAATATGTTCTCTCTGGAAGCTTTCAGGAAATTAAAATTTCTCTACTATTATTAAAGGTCATGGCGATGGTTGCTTGTAGGAGTTCTACCTACCTACAACCTCTTGTTCGTTCTGGGGAGACTTGACAGCCCCTGTAAACCTGGGTACACTGTAGTTCAAGGACATTTTCATTTCCTGTTCTGGGATCCCTTCTTTTAAGTACTTTCTGTCTCCATCCTTTCGTTTTTAAAAATCTTTTCTGCTTCCATTTTTGTCTCTCTTTCTGTTGGTTCCATGTAGTAGGACAGTTCTCCAGTCCTGATTTCCGGACCTACTGAGTTTTTGCCTTGCTATATAATATTTTAATCTTCAGGAGTCTCCTATTTCGTTGGTGGTGTCATTGTTTTCTGAATGTTCTTTTTTAATACCACAGGTTTTCGTTCATGGATTTGATTTCTTCTGTCATCTTCCTGATAGTTTCATAGCGAGTTTCTTTGTGACTTTTCTTTCACATCAGAGACTTTCCTCATGCTTGGCTGTATGGTAGTTCCCATACCAGGTAATAAAATACTGAGTAGATACTTTGTAGGTGCAACAGGGGCTTTGATGCAGAGTGATTAGGCAGAGACCTGGCTAATTCATTAGGGGAGTGTAATGATCAGTTTTCTCTAGAATGATCCACAGAGAGAGGAACCTCCTGACTTCCCTGGGCATGGTGGTATGATCTTTGTGCCTTCCTAGAATTTACGTGGTAACTCCTTCTGGGCTCAGTGTTTCACACCTTTAGTCCCAGCAACTTGGGAGGCTGAGGCAGGAGGATCTCTTGCGCCGAGGAGTTTAAGGCTAAGGTGCATTCCAGCTTGGGTGATAGAAGGAGAACAGTGTCTTTAAATACTAATATTAATACTAAAACTAATACTAATAATAAAGGAAAAGAAGAAAGAAAGAAAAAAAACAAGAATTGCTAACTTCCCAGGTGATGGTAAATGGAGGTGGAGCCTTTCCCAGTCTTCCTTTCCCATCCCTCTTCTACCCTCTCCCTTCCACTTCCCTCTCCCTTCCATTCCCTTTCCTTTTTTTCTTTTTTTCTTTCCTCCCTACCTCTGTCCCTTCACCCCGCCTCCCAGTCTTCCTCTGTCTCTTTCTTCCTCTCTCCCTTCTTCCTCCATCTTCTCCCCCCACCCCTCCTCCTTTTCCCTCCTTTCCTATTCCCTTCCTTTCTTTCCCTTTCTGCAGGATCTTGCTCTGTTGCCCAGGCTGGAGTGCAGTGGCCTGATCATAGTTCACTGTAGCTTTTAACTCCTTGGCCCAAGTGATGCTCCAGCCTCAGATTCCTAAGTACCTGGGACTACAACATGCACCATTATGCCTGGCTAACTTTTAAGATGTTTTTGTTGAGGTCCTGCTGTTACTCAAGCTGGTCTTGAACTCCTAGCCTCAAGGGCTAGTACCCCCTCTATGTCCACAGGTTCCAGGTGCCTCCAATTCTAGAGCTTCTTGGGAATTCCACCTCATAGATGTGCTTGCTTCTCTCTAGTTTTCCATTTCTCCTACAGCTTTCTCTCCACTGCTATTTTAGTTTCCACTTGACAATCAGATTTTCAGTTTCCAAAAAGTATTTGGCATATTTTGTTTGCTATAGTGTTTCTTCTTTTTATTCTAGTCTTAGTCTGTGTTTGCTGCTATAACAAAATACCTGGGACTGGGTAATTTTATGAATAAAAGAAATTTACTTCTCATGGCTCTGGAGGCTCAGAAGTTCAAGGTAAGGCTTCAGGAGGTTTGGTATCTTGTGAGGGCTTCTCTCTGCTTCCAGGTTGGCAGAAGGTAGAAGGACAAAAGGTGGCCAGCTAGTTCCCTTCGGCACTTACACAAGCTCCTTAGTCCCATTCACGAGGGCTCCGCTCTTATGACGTAGTCACCGCCTTATTGCCCTGCCTCTTAATACTGTTGTGTTGGGGATTAAATTTCAAGATGAATTTTGGAGGGAACACAAACTTTCAAACCAGAGGAATCTTTGAGGGCTTTTGCTTCCTGTTTGCAAGCTTCTTTGTTTGCTGTCATTTAGGGGGTGGGGGGATACATGGGATTTGAAAAGGTAGAAGTCCATGTTCCAACTTTTACTTAACTAGAAGTCCAATAATACATTTTGTTCTTGATGCAAGGTATATTTAATTATGGATGGTGTAAGATAGAGGGAAGTTTATTTATTTATTTTTTTATTACTTGTACACACAGTTATAATTATTGGTTGAAACAATTATTATTACTATAGCTACAGTTTAGTGACTTTCTTTTTTTTAAATTAAATGATAGCTGTGTACATTAATGCAATCATGGGGTACAGTGTGGTGTTTTCATATACAATTTGAAATATTTTCATCAAACTGGTTAACCTAGCCTTTATGTCATTTTCTTAGTTGTTGTGTTAAGATGTTTATATTCTACTCTTAGAAAGATTCACTTGTACCCTTGTAAGATAAACCATAGAAGTGATCCCTCCAATCAACCTTCCTCTACCCATCTCCCCTCCCCCCCTCCCCATATTCTTAGGTTATAATTAGGTTTTAGCTTTCATATGAAAATTAGTTTCATATTTTTTAAATTGATAGTAATTTTCAAATGTTTCATTCTTTAGGATGCCTCATTGATGGACATGAACTCCTTCAGCCCTATGATGCCAACATCTCCTTTATCAATGATAAACCAAATCAAGTTTGAAGATGAGCCGGATGTAAAGGATCTCTTCATCACAGTCGATGAACCTGAAAGCCATGTTACTACAATTGAAACGTTCATTACTTATAGGATTATTACTAAGGTAAACGGTAAATGAACTTTTTTTTTGGAAGTGTTTCTTTTTCAACATAACTCTCAGCATTACAGAGTCTTGACTGAATTGAGTTTAACTTTTTCAGCTGTTTTGGGTAACATGTGGCATCTTATCTGCTCTTCACTTGTTCTGTAGGAAGTTGGTAAAGTTCACATTGACTTAAGAGTCACTTTTTATTTGGGCTTCTTAGAATAAGAAACATTTAGGGTTTTGGTTTAAAAAATTAATAAGAAATACCTTTGGGGAAAAAGAGGGGCTGAAATTGTTCATTAAAAAAGCAAATAAACAGAGAGGTAATATTTTACATTCCCATTTTTTCTGAGGGTTACATAATATAATACCACTTGTGTTCTAAAAGGGAGCAAGTGGCTACTTTGCCTTCTATAGGAGATATTGTTATTTGTCCAATAATTCAGGGGCAAGGCTTTTTACAGAGCCTTGCCTTGTTATTAAGAAGACTTGGGTTCAGCAATAGATCTAGACCCCACGTCTCCTTAACAACAATGCAAGGCTCTGTAGAAGGAGTTGAACTCAGAAAAAATAAAGCAAGCAAATAGTATAATCTATATTTTATGTCCTTTATTTAATAGACGTCTTTAAGAATTCTGTTTCAAGTTACAGTATTTTGTTTATGCAGCCTCTTCCTAGCCCTGTTCCAGAACTGTCAAAGTCCATCTCTTTTGTACCTGAAAAGGTTCTGAACAGCTTTCCTATAATCACGGCTTCCAGTGAAACCTCCACACAGCTGGAGGGAGGAAAGAAAAAAAGAAAGAGAAAGGAAAGGAAGGAATATTTCTTAACAGTATATGTATCTGATCTCTTCACTCAAATTCTTAAAATCCTATCTTGGCCCCTCATTTGCTACAGAACAAAGTGCAGGTTCCTTTATGTGATATATGTTCTTGGCAATGCCAGCTCATCCTACAAGACTCATCTCTTGCTGCCCACGTCCACTGCCCTTGCTCTCCACGCATATAGAACTTCTCTGTTCTCTGAATATTTAGGATATTTCTTGCTCACATAACTTTGTGTATGCTTTTCCTTCTCGTGGGTGTGTCCATCCCCTTCTTAGAAGAACTACTGATTATTTTCAGTATACGCTCCAAGTGCTAAATGCCTACATGGCAGGGTTTTCTAGTTTATCGTACCCTGCCTAAAGGAGTCGTCTTCCCTTTTTTTCTCAGATCGTTTTGTCGAACTCAAAGAATGTTAAACATCAGAGTCAGTAAAGCAAAGAAATCAATAGCATGTATTTATTCCATCTAAGATTCTATAGATTTTTTTAATCTATAAAACTGTGATGATAATAGAACCTAGTTCTGTAGGGTTGCTGTAAGAATTGATTTTGGATAATCAATGAAAAACACTTAGCAAAGTTCCTAACACGTGTGAGTGTTCAGTAATTGCCACCTTCTAGTATGTGAGTAGATTACTATGTGTTTATTTGTTTTTGTTTTTTTTTCTTGCCAGAAAGTTTGCAAGCTTCTCTAAGAAGGTAACTTATCTTACGTTACCTGTTATTCCAAACATAATTTTTAGGATATAGTAAGTAAGCAATTTAGTTTTATGAGGACTGAATTTATAATATCTTATACATATATAAAAAGACAGTAAGTAGGGCGCCAGCCATATACAACAAGGCTGGTAGGTTCAAGCCCAACCTGGGCCTATTAAACAACAATGACAACTGCAACCAAAAAAAAGCCAGGCATTGTGGTGGGCATCTGTAGTCCCAGGTACTCAGGAGGCTAAGGCAAGAGAATTGCTTAAGCCCAAGAGTTTGAGGTTGCTGTGAACTGTCACGCCATGGCACTCTACCAAGGGTGACATAGTGAAACTCTGTCTCAAAAAAAAAAAAAAAAAAAAGAGACAGTAAAGCAGGAACACATGAACTTGAATCTGAATTTCTCCTCTTCCTTGCTACGTGTCTTGGGTGATTTAATTAACATTTTTATGTCAGTTTGCTCCTGTGGCTTCATAAGTAGGGTAATAGTCCTAACCTCATAGGGTCTTTATGAGAACTGAATATGTTAATACAGGCATGCTGCTAAGAACAGAGCCAGATTTCTTCTATTACTATGGTTAGAATCACCCCTTGTTATTATCTATCCTAGCAAGAATTTGTGAAACTGAAGTATTGTTCCCACCATTTGCTTCTCTCAGAAAGATATCCTTTGTAAGCCGCCTTATGGATTTCATCCTCATCATAGACATCCATTCCTTCTGATTCATCCATATTTATGTTGTACTTCGAAAGGACTGCTCTTATAGTGGTAATGATGGTACTGTAGTCATAATATTAGAGAGTATAATTAGTAGTGTGTAAATACTTTGTGCTAGGTGATACTCTGACTCATTCAAGCTCATGATAATCCTATAACCCTGATGTTGTAATTTACCCCCATTCATGAATGAGAGCACTGAAACTCAGTACCTTGGCAAAGATTATATAGGAGAGAAATTAGCTGAGCTGAGATTTAAACCTAGACCATTTACTTTCCTTATATACATTTTTTCTTTCATTTTTTTGTGCATGGATGTGGGGATATGGAAAGCTATCTTTTAGTTTAACTATTACAAACTAAATTCCTTTGTTCTACTTCCCATTATTTTCCCCCCATTTTTTTTTTTTTTTTTTTAGGGGGAGGTTGCTATGGTGGTGCTGGGATGGTGCTTCCCATTACTTTTTCTCCATGTAGTACATAGACTATACAAATATATACTCTGAAACACACATTAAAGATGCAGATATATAAACACCCACTGGATGTATGTTATGTTATCATATAGCCTTGTCTTAGCTATTCGCTTATCTCAATTCATTCATTGACTTATTTCTTAGCTATTTGCTTATCTCAGTTCATTCCTTGACTTATTTCTTAGCTATTCACTTTTTTCCATTCATTCATTGACTTATTTCTTAGCTATTCACTTATTTCCATTCATTCATTGACTTATTTATTCCACAGAGTTTCAATGAGCACACATCATGTCCCAAGTACTGTGCTTATTTATGTATTAAGACTATCTCAGCGATTAGGACAAAGCTGACAGAAGGACCTTCTGCCTTCACCAGGCTTTCAATCTGTGGGAAGGGGGTGTGTGTGTGTGTGAGAGAGAGATAGAGAGATAAAAGGAGAGAGATGATACTAAAAAAATCATAGGTCAAGTAATTTAATTATGATTAAGGATGTTACGAAGGGAAATATAGGACACTCAGAGCATGGCGTACACTATATAATTTGAAGGATCAAAGATGGTCTCCCTGGAAGGTTTTAGTTTTATATATATTTATATTCATGGACACTAAGGATAAAGAAAGATAGACACACATATAAAAATGTATGTATATACATCGACAGTCTCCTAGTCAGAAATACTCAAGAATGATCTATCAATACTTGTATCAGGAGGACCATGGTCCTGGCATGTGTTCTTTTTTTTTTTTTTTTGCAGTTTTTGGCCCAGGGCTGGGTTTGAACCCGCCACCTCCCCAGTATATGGGGCCAGCGCCCTACTCCTTGAGCCACAGGCACTGCCCCTGGCGTGTGTTCTTTTCATGGTAAATTACCTTTTTTTGTCCAAGTGAGGCTGTCTGAGGTGACTGCTGCAAAGAAGGGCTTTCTCTTTTTGCAGTCTAGAGACATGTGTTCCATCCGTATAAAATCAAGAACTAAGAGATGGAACCAGGTACTTTCCCCGCTTCTCCATGCTGAAGACAGACCTGTTGATGCCTGTAGCGTGTAGGTGGGAGTCCAGTTCCGTTCTTGTTGATGGAATTGACCATTACAGTTCATTTCCCTGAAACCCAGTTTTTGAAATCCTCAGAATTCAGAATAACCATTCACACTCAACCAAGGGTTGTGTATTGCATGAATGCATTTTGGGGGCTAGATCACAGGACTCTGTTTGTACTAAACTTCCAATACCCAGTCTTCTATGGTGAGACATAAAATGAATCACCGGGTACAACCTGGCTTCTCTGGAAAATGTTTTCTCATTTAGAAGTATGCTTTGTACGCCAAATGAACTTTATAGAACCCATGTCCTTTTTAAGTTGGAGCTATGCCATCAAACCCAGTGATTCCTGCAGTTCGGAAGCTTTTGCCTATCTTCTGTGACTAACTTTGGCCACTTTAGAGGGGAGGAGGATTCCAAGCCCTGCCATAGGCAATCCAGCTAACAATGGCTCTTTTCTTGTTCTATTCCTACGTATCTCTCTCTCCTAACACTCTAGGAACAGAGTAAAGCCTTTGAGTAGGAAGAAATAACATTTTCTCCTTGGTAGTTGTCCTTTATCCTCTGTGTTTTTCCTGTATTGTAGCAAGTTAGAGAATTCCTTCATGTCAGTGACACAGTCATGAGAACAGAATGAACCACTTGCCTGACTTTATTTTACAGCTCAGTCTTGCTGGAAGTTACAGCAGATTATTTTGTGTTTACTTAACATGTTGAATCTTCTTGGGGACATACACAGCTCAGTCTTTTTTAACTGCCCATTGAGTGCTTTTTTGGCTACTTATGCCAGTGTATTTTTTTTGGAAGTTGATAGTGAACCCGTTTATAGGTACCTGGCACAAGAAGGTACTCAGTATTTTTATAAATGAATTGCTCTAAATCACGTTTTGTGTCCCTGTGTATGTATGCTGCACTTGTGTATTTTTACATATAGGTACACATACCAACCTGCGCATATATTATTAAACTATGTCGGAACCAGATTTAGTGTTCCTATGTTTACCATCTGTCTATCTTGTACCATTTTGCATAATAGTTAAGATTTTTTAGTGTTCCGTGAACATTTAATTTCTTAGACTTCTACATTCATTTGTCCCTCAGTTTTCCCCATTCTAAAGGATTGTTTTAGACGTATTATATGATATTCCAGAAATTCATTTTAAAAGAAGATACTGGAAAGGGTCGCTTTTAGAAATCTTATTTTAGGACAATTAAGATGGCGTCTTCTGACTTTACTCATATTTATAATTTGTGTTCATCTATGTGGGTGATTGACATCTTTGGTGAGTGTGAAACATGTCTTCTGTTCCTCCAGAAAAACCTCAACATAAATATTAACTACGTGTAATTTTTAATATGCAAACAGTCAGTTTAATAAGTGCTTGTTTTCTCATGGGAGGTGAGTGTGCTTCAGATAACCCATGGTTTTCCCTTTGGCTCAGGATTGAGGACTGAGGTTGATATTGTACCCAAGTTCTTCTTGTTGTATGTCCTGGCATAGATTTTTGGTTTGTTGGCAGCAGATATTTTAATGTATTTGCTTAATTTTTAGGAGTTTAGGCACATAACCCAAAATAAAAATCCTTGAGAAATGACAGGAGAATTTTCTTTTCACATCAAATGTCTATTAATTACATCTTTCAGAAGAGTGGTACAATCACTCTGTAAAATGTTAGAATTTTCATATGCCAAAAGGAAATTTTAGCACAGCAATTCATTTGAGAAGATTCCAAGAAAACGTTTTTCTCAGTTACATTCAGGTTATTTTCCAAATTGCAAAAATAGGACTTTCCTCAAATTCTGAATTCTGATCATCTTGAGAAAAAGAAATATATTTGAAACCTAATTTCAGAACACACTTTCTTGTTAGCGAGAAAGTCGTGCCAAAGATAATAGTAGTTAAAATCTTGTGGAAGGCAGATGGTTGTTGTAAGACAGATTTTTCAGTTTGGATTTTAAATTTAAGCATGATATTTGCTTTCTTTCTGGAAATACCGGAAAGTTTGCTTTGTTTCATCTGCTACATGAATAGATGACAAAAAAGAAAAAATATATATACCGGCTGACAAACACTGAATAATTACGATTTGTTAATTTTTCTCAGAGACCCATTTATTTCACAATGTCTAAAATAACATGAGGCGAATGTCTTCTGTCTTCTATTACATGTGCTGTTATTTTCTCCTAATTTCTTCAGACATCGCGTGGGGAATTCGATTCCAGTGAATTTGAAGTGAGGAGGCGCTACCAAGATTTCCTTTGGTTGAAGGGAAAGCTTGAAGAAGCTCACCCGACTCTCATTATCCCAGTAAGTTTGTAAGTTTTCTTCATAGAATGGATGTCATTCTTCTTGCGAGGCTTTTAGAATGCCAAAACCTAATTTCAGACCTGTAAATTCACTTATGGCAGAAACAGTTCTCTCTGAATGTTTCAATCTCTGTATATGTACAGATTTTTAACCTATTGTAATAGTTTGCATTTTTAATTCTAGCGCTGTGAATTTTTAAAACTTGTTCCTTTAAAAAGCGATTAGTTGTTCAACTCATGTTACCCAAACTATAAACTTGTACCACCTAATGCTCAGTTTTTTTTTTTTTTTTTTTTTTTGCTTTTTGCCTCAGCCATTGCCAGAAAAGTTTATAGTGAAAGGAATGGTGGAACGTTTTAATGAGGACTTCATTGAGACACGCAGGAAGGCTCTCCATAAATTTTTGAACCGTATTGCTGATCATCCAACTTTGACATTTAATGAAGACTTCAAAGTTTTTCTCACTGCACAAGCTTGGGTGAATAATGTTTATTTGTTCTCATGTAATCCTTAGACATCTATACATATAGTAGATTGTATGTTTCCTTTTGTTTACCTTTCAAATCAGTTAGTGGCGTACTGGAATTGAAACTGAGTTTTTCAAAAACACAAGAAAGGGCTCGGCGCCCATAGCATAATGGTTACAATATCAGCCACATGCACTGAGGCTGGTGGGTTCAAACCTGGCCCCAGCCAGTTAAACAACAATGACAGCTGCCAAAAAAAAATAGCTGGCCACTGTGGTGGGTGCCTGTAGTCCCAGCTACTTGGGAAGGCTAAGGGAGGAGAATTGCTTAAGGCCAAGAGTCTGAGGTTGCTGTGAGCTGTGATGTCACAGCACTCTACTGAGGGCCACTTAGTGAGATTCTGTCTCAAAAAAAAAAAAAAAAAAAACACAGGAAGGATTTCTTTAGATATAACCTTGTGTCAGTTCTACATATGAACATTACGGTCTTGTTCCTTCCTCATATATACATGCTTTTAATTTCTTGGTAGCTGGTGTTTTTTTGTTTTTAATGTCACGGTGCTCCTTGCATATAGACAATACTGAACAGGTAGAAATATATTTATTTTATTGACACTAGAGTCAACCTTGAAGAATGTAGGAGTTAGGGACTCTGGCCCACTCACCATCAGAAGTCCATTTGTAACTCTTTTGAAGGGTTACACAAAAGTTTTAACTCTCCCCAAACGTAGCTACTAATAGCCTGCCCTTGAATAGAAGATTTACAGTAACATAAATAGTCATTTGATACATCTTCTATTTTGTATGTTATATCTGTTATATACGGTATCCTTACAATAAAGCAAGACATCCAAAAATTTTATTACGAATCATGAGGAAGAGAAAGCACATTTAAAGTCCTCTGCTGTGTTGATTGATACTGTAAGTGTATGTTATCTGTTTGCAGGATGAATTGTATGTGCAGAATGACAAGCAGCCACAGCTGTATAACTCAAATCTATGCGACATAACAAGCAATTCAACTTTTTCTTGTAATGTCTTGACTTCTTTCTGCTTCTAGGGAGTGCTTCCAGCATCGCCAGTAACATTTCATGTAGGTCCCACGGTGTTACTCAGCATTTACGGTCGTGTACTAAACATGATGAAAGATACGTGGGAATCCCAAGAGATCACTTTTTACCACAGTTCCCAACTTACTGGAATGATGAACTGTTCGTGCAAAGATGATTAGTGTCAGGCAGTATTTTAAGCAGAACAACACCTGAGTTCACAGTAGTAATAAGAGGTGGTTATTGTAGTAGTACAGTATGTGCATAGTACTAGATTTAATTTTATGCAGTTATGATCTAATATTGAATGTTTATGTTTGTTTACATTTTTCTCGACTGAATGGCACTAGGTACAGTCTGTGTGCTTAAGTTTTGATCAATTTTAATTTTAAAATAGATGGCATGTATATTTTATAGTAGTAAATGAGAAAATAGATTAGTGTCCATACATATTTTATTCATTGATAATATCCCTTTTTCTTAATTTTTTCAATATTCCTAGGCTATGTGGTTTGTCTGTGAATTTTTTCCAATTGTCACAAACCTCTCAAACGTTTTCCAGGATATTAATTGAAAAAAAATCTGCATATATATAGACCTATTCAAACTGTGTCATTCAAGAGTCAGCTATATTTTGAATAAGCTGGGTTTTTTTTTTTGTTTGTTTGTTTTTTTTTGTAGAGACAGAATTTCAGTTATAGCCCTCAGTAGAGTGCTGTGATATCACAGCCCCCAGCAATCTCTAACTGCTTAGGTAGTTCTCTTGCCTCAGCCTCCCAAGTAGCTGGGACTATGATAAAAGTCTTTATGAAGTGAATGGATGAATGGTTAGATAGATAGGTGGAATAAGTACGTTCTCCATTCTTTTCCTTCAATTATCTAAGTGGGAGAAAGTGTCTAATTTCTAAAATTCAAACCTTATGTGTTCTCCTTCTTTTTAATTTTATGAAGCTATAGCTCAGCAAGAAAGATAATAGATAGGAGAAAGGGTCAATATTCAGCAGTTACTGACCCTTGTTGAGTTTTATCGGTCTCCATTGTCGCCAAAGGTTGGTAGAAGCTAAAAAGTGATTTATCTTGCAGATAGTCGTGCTTTCTGGAAGCCCTTGTGACTGAATGTGAAATGAATTTGGGGCCTGACTCTAGAACCTTGGAAAGTGTTGTAAGCATTCTCTTCAGCTAACAGTTGCAGGAACGCTTGGCACTTGTGCCTTGTGCTGTGTCAGCTAGTGTTTATCTAACGATGCTGTAGCCCTCCTAGGTGGAAGGGTGGCCTAGTCAAGGATGGAATCTGTTACACTGACTTGCAAATAAACGAGTTTACTTTGTATGTGTATTTGTGGAAGACCTTTAGGAAAGAAAACTTGGATAAAGATAGACAATATGTTGCTTAATATTTGGGTGAATAATACATAATAATATTTTTATCTATTAGGTAGTCAGCATTATTAATTATGGATTTTTTCTTCCTGTGTGTTACTCTCCAACTTTTATCTGATCCCAAGCTTATGTTTCAACAAGTCCTACAACCATCATCAGAATCCCTTGCCCTCTTTTCTGTTGCCTTTTATTTTTGTTTTATTTTATTTTATTTATTTATCTTTTTGAGACAGAGTCTCAAGTTGTCGCCCTGGGTAGAGTGCCATGGCGGCATCATAACCTAAACAACTTCCAACTCTGGGGCTCAAGTGATCCTCTTGCCTCAGTTATTCTATTTTTTGTAGAGACGGAGTCTCGCTCTTGCTCAGAGGCTGGTCTCAAACTCCTCAGTTCAAGCAACCCACTTGCTTTGACCTCCCAGAGTGCCAGGATTATAGGAGTGAGCCACTGCACCAGGCCTTCTGTTGCCTTTTAAAATGTGGCATACTTCTGAAGGGATGAATGCATGTGTGTATAGCTTTTCCTTTTATAGCATTTTATTTCTATCTACTTTGCAAGTCTGTAGCCATTCCTTGTAGCTTACGTATGAAACATTCAGTTGCATATCTTTTTTTTTTTTTTGAGACACAGTCTCGTTTTGTCACCCTCAGTAGAGTGCTGTGCTGTCACAGCTCACAGCAACCTCAAACTCTTGGGGTCACGCTATTCTCTTGCCTCAGCCTCCCAAGTAGCTGGGACTACAGGTGCCCACCACAATGCCCAGCTATTTTTAGGATGGGGTTTTGCGCTAGCTTGGGCTGGTCTTGAACCCATGAGCTCAGATAATCTACCTGCTTCGGCCTCCCAGAGTGCTAGGATTATGAGAGTGAGCCACAGTGCCAGGCCTAGTTTCCCATCTTTTAAAAAATCTTTCTCTATAGACAGCCAGCCAGTAGAAATGTTATCACAGCTGGTTGAAGAGCTGTGGTGAGGCAGCGTGTGTTGACACACTATCTTAATGAGGTTAAGGAAACAAGCTTCCAGGATTCTGATTCTTCTTCTCCTATTTAATTCTTTTTGGATCTTGAGTAAGTTATTTAACCTTCCTGTGCCTCTGTCTTCCGTAAAGTGAGGAAAATAATAGAACCTACCTCATAGGCTCGCTGTAAGTTACGTACATAAAAACGCAAGGGTAATGCCTTAAAACAGTGATTTCCAACTGGTGGGCCATGAAAGTTTTTAAAGATCACTAAGTTATTTTCGAGAAAAGTTCAAAACCATAAGCATATTCGTTTTTTACCCTTGTTTTTGATGAACATAATTTAAGTGTCCCGTGGAAGTTTTAACTATAGGTTCACGTGTGTTCTGAGATAATAAAGGATGAAAATGCTGGCCTAGAACATATTAAGCTCTAATTAAATGTTAGCAAGTGTTATACCTAAAGAATTAATGAATTGTTTTCAATATTCTTTTTCAGAGTATAACTCACAGCTTGAGAAATCTTCCATTTCTCCATTTTTCCATTAAATTTCTGTTTTACTCATGCCATCCTCCTACCTTCTCTAGTATCTCCTTGAGCACTGACGTTCTCCTGTTTAAAGATTTATGCTTTGGGCAAGACTATCTGCTGGTTTTACATACATACTTTGAAAGGGAATATTCTCAAAGAGACCAACATTTAGAGGAGAAACTGTACCTTAATCAAACTCATTTGCTTAAAAATCACATTTTTTAGTTTAAGATGTATATGAAATAATTTTATCTTTTAGTTTATTCTCCTAATGGGGTTTTTTTGTGTGTGTGTTAGTCTTGGATTAGGGTTACTTGCTTTACCACTGATATTTCATCTTTTGTGTGTAGGAACTCTCATCTCATAAGAAGCAAGGGCCTGGATTGCTGAGCAGGATGGGACAGACCGTCAGAGCTGTGGCATCCTCCATGAGAGGGGTGAAGAGCCGCCCAGAGGAGTTCATGGAAATGAATACTTTTATTGAGATGTTTAGCCAGAAAGTAAATTTGATAGATAAAATATCTCAGAGAATTTACAAGGAAGAAAGAGGTACGTAGAACCACTGAAATGTGATTCGAGTTGTTTAGTTTGGGATGAATATTTTCATTTCGTTGGTACAAGAATTTTAAGTTAGGATTTCACTTTCAAAGTGTGGTGTGCCCAGCCAGGTGGAAATTTTTGATTCCTAAGTGATTTTGAAGGTAGTCACAGACAGTTCGCATTTGGTTTTCTCGACCATTAGCTGTTCCATTTCCCACTTGTAGATAAGAGTAGTAAAGCTAAGTCCTGAGATTAATTAAAATTGTGGATGTAGGTGCGTCAAGTTGGTATTCAACATGGACCATAGCTTAAAATTAAAGAAGTGATGATTCAGAAAATATGGTCATTATGTAAATACTCTTGTATTAAACTTGTCAAAATATGCCACAGAGATTTATATATTCAAAAATCAATCTCTTTTTCTATTTTCTAGCACTATTTCCTCTTACTATTTAATATATATACATTTTTTAGTTTGTAAGTGAGACTTTATTTTGTGATATTTTAAAAAATTTTATGAGTTTTTTTTTCTAATTTTCTAGTTCTATGTATCTACATTAAAAATAGATGGCTGAGTCAATAAATAATTTCCCAATGTAAATTGGTTCTAATACTCGAGGAACTGCTTAAAGACAGACAGAAGTTCTCATGTTGATAAGTTGCTTGTTTGTTGTTAGAGTCCTGAAGGTTCTGTAAGACCCATGGATAATCTGGGGAAAGTGTTCTTTGGTTTCTGGTATCTAGTGTTTAACCATAATAAATGTACAGTTAAAATTTCTTCAGTGATTGAAAAAATATATGCATTAACATAAGATTTGGAATAATGGTAGAACAACGCGCCTTACGATGTAGAAAACATTGCGTACTGAACATACTTTGCCCTCCTGCTTCTCACGCGTTGATACTTAGATCATTGTAGTAACTAAATGTAGTTTATTAAGTTATTTTAAGCCTCTTTGGTTTGTCCTTGTACTTATCATTTGTCATTTTTTTCCCCCAAATCCCAAGAAGTAAATTCTTTTAGCTAGGTTTTGGGGTTCCAGTTCTGTTCATTAGATTTCTGGATGACTGGTTTGGTGGGATAGCAGTTTAGACAGGCCCCTGGAAAGAAACTACTGACACTTAGGAGCTTCCTAGACTATCAAATGCTGTGTATTTACTGGTGTAACGGAGTGCTTTTAAAATCTTTGATAGACCCTGATATTTATAAAATGCAAAAGAAAACTAGATTCTGTGATAGACTAGATTTTGAGCTACTACTTTTAGGGAGTGAAGGCCACTTACCCAAACTGGAGGGACTTCATAGTCTTTAGAATGTGAAATCTACTTCTCAAAATTGGATTCAAAATAATTGTTTTCTTTTGTAGCTTTGGTAGTCTAAGCTATTTAGGGTGATTAATTCATACTTAGATTATGAATAATTTAGTGATCCTAATTGGGGCTTCTCTTTTTCTTTTTTTTTTACTAAATTTTTTTCCTTTGATTTTGTTTAATTTTGTGTTTCTCAGCATATTCAGGAAAATTGTATTACTACATAACCACATGTTATGCTTCCTCAATGTGCTGGACATAAAAGGCGTAATTAAGATGGTACCTGTCACACTGTAGATCTCAGGGTGTTGATAGATTATAGTGCAACTCATTAAATGTTTGTATTCAGGTGTGATTTGAGTGGTATTAAACATAGTTTGGAATTTTAGGGAAGCTAAAACTAAATAGTGTACAGTTTAATGACATATATATATATATATACACACACACATACTAGTTGAGAGAAGAAATAAAAGGGAAATTTTTGTTTTCTAGAAATATGAGTTTTGTATGGTCATTATTTAACATAGAAGATAGTCCTAGACTCAGGAAGATGGGGTTGGAAGCTTCTAGAAGTCATTAAACCTAATACTTTCATTGGTGATGATTAATATTTTGTTTTTAAATTTTATAATTTGCTCCCTTTCAGTTTATATAATCATACAAACTTGTGAAGTTTTGGTGGTTTCATTTAGAGCAATGTGACAGATTTCAGCAAGTCCTAAGATGGTTAAATACACAGAATTGCATTGTATTTATGTGGGTATTAGACAAAAAGTAGGCTCACTCTTTATAAATTCTCTATCATAGGCTTGGCGCCTGTGGCTCAAG